TGAGAACGTGCATCCAGGTGGTATCATTGGTAGGTACAAAGGTGTACCTCTACTAGAGGGATGGCTGGTGGAGTCTCAGAAGGGACTCCATCAGGCCCAGTTGTTTGGCGAGTGCAATAACAGAAGGATATGGAGGCGAATGAGGTGAGTTTTGCCTGTGCGCTTCATCGGAGTTTCAATCTGCGCATCGCCAAGTGCATCGGTGAAGCAGGTGCTGATTTTGTTATTTTAGACGCTCCTTCCATCGTGCGCCAGCTCGCTGAAGAAAATCTTGAAGAGTTCTTGGAAGAGTACACTCAAACCTTGGCAGCCATTTGGCTAGTTAACCTGGCAGCAAGACACGAGAATCTTGAATCATCTCTGAACGTAAAGCTCGCTCAAAAGTACATTGCACCCTACAACATAATAACAACGTAATAACAACCTGGAATAGTCTGCCCCAAAGTGTTGTCGACGCCCCATCAGTCAACGCCTTCAAAAACAGGCTGGATAATCACTGGAAGTCCCTCCCCTCTCTCTATGACCCATCCTGCTACCACTAGTGACTTGGTATCACCACACGCACATGCAAGTACCATGCAGCTAGCAGCACAACGAGCGACGAACATGGCCCAGGAGGGCCTCAAACGTCAGTTCAGTTCAAGTTCAAGTACATTGCTGCTATTCACGAGTCTTTCTTATCTGGTGTTGGCAGGGATAATTGGCTGACACCTGCTGTCACCCTGTCAGGAATGCACTGCCCTATTTAAACTTACAGATGCGATCTCGGAAACATTATACTCAATGATGCGGTATCAGAAGCAAGAGGGAGGACAGCACGACACTCTGCAATGGCGGGCAAAAGTTCGATGTATGCTACTGCCTGTCGGTAGTATGACACTGGAACGACTGCTTGGATAGCGCGGCAGGCAAGGTTTTTCTACGCAGGTGTTCGCAAACATGGCCTTCGCTCCCACCGCAGCCCTTTTTTACTGACGTCCGAGCTACTAGATGCGACGTGAGCAAAGTCATCGACGTAGGCGTCTTACTTCAGTGTTCATTTGTTGGCCTAGCTGAAACGCTGGAGCGCAAGTGGACGAGTAAGAGGAAGCTCTCGATTGATAAAATTGTGCGATGAAACTTTTTCCAACATGCTAGGAAAAGCTGTAGTTGATACAAAAATAAGAACAGACGCTTCTATTCAAAATTTCGTGTAATACATAAAAGTTTGAAGCTAATCAAGAATAAATTAATAATGCATGAATTATACAAAATGTAATAAATAGAAGGTAAAAATAATTAATGAGAAGGGTAATGATAGTCGAAAGCTGCAACTGATTTTCCTGGACCAGTTGTATTTGTGTTTCTTTTCGGTGCTTTGTTTTCCTGTGAAAGGATACTACCACTTCATTTTTGCACAAGCACCAGTCTATGAATTATCAGTTTTCTTGCTAAAGCTTCATTCTTCTTTGCTTCGTTTATTTCCTTATTTTTAGTTGCTGATGAATCCCCCCTTCTTCTACTGCTGTGCTGTCTAATTCAAGAACAACGCTTGAATCTGTGGTACAGAAAAAATATGAAAATCCATGCATATACTTATCATCGAGCGGCAAAGTCTTGATGCAATATAAATAATGAAATTCATAAATTGTAAATATTTCATGAAAATGTACATGATTATAAGTCGTAAGAGATATGTTCATGAGCGTATAAAACAAAGAACAATGTAAATAAATATAATCAGAAATAATTAAAAAAAAATAATCGTTAGAATCGTTCCACCCTACGTTAAGTTGTGGTAGACATTGCCTGTCATCCCACAAAACCACAATTTAGTGGATTCGGTGTTTTGTAACATTTTCGTTGGGGCTACATGGATGTGTCTTCTAAGCTCCCATAATCCCGTTGGCATAAAACAACAAACTATAGAAGAAGATAACATTTCTGTTGTGGCTTTCATACTTACCTTCAATACCTTGACTTTTTATTTTGTTTGGCGTACATGCTGCATTGAAGGCTCCGGACCTCCGGCGTACACGCAGCACCATCCTGGGTATGGTATACTTGTAGGCCTATTTGCAGATTTCAAGTGGTAAATAAATTAATAGATGATTAAGTTAAGAAACAGATTTAGACACATAGAAACTAACTCTGACACAACTTGAATTGGACACACACACCTCATTCCAAGCTGTGTGCAGAAATTAAAATTTTCTTAATTAAAAGCCTAATAGCTGTTAATTAAAAGCCTAATTAAGTAGTGTTCAATATTCAATAGTGTTCTAATTCAAAGCCGTGTTGTATTCCAATACAGCTCACACAGCAATCGGAATTCGAACACAAGGATGTTGGAATTACATATTAGTAGAGTTTGAAGCGCGGCTGGAATTCGTCTCACAACGTGCCAAATTTAGTTACACACAGCGTCAAAATATAGGGATTTGGTAGGTTTGCATTCTAAAGGCTTTTAAATAAATATGGCAACACTTTGTGACGTTTCATCGTTGCTGGCGCGTAGTGGAGTGTTTTCAGAGTCACGTAAAGCAAACAGAACGCAAGTAACGCATAGGGTTATTTTTTTATAGTTTTTCATTTCTCGATGCGTCCTTGATGTGTCGGAATATACTGCGTTTACCCTTCTTGAAGTTACATTATACTTCTATTAGTTCTATGCGTTCAAACGGGGTAGCCCTAATAAGGGACAAGCGGCCGGAGTAATAAAGGACAGCCCTCCAACATTTTGTAGAAATGTAGTACCGTAGCAGCTAATTTAGGCTAGGCCTAATTTAAAAATTTAAAACTAAAAATAGTCGCCTAAAAAATCAACATTTTTCTTATCTATATTACTATATAGCATAAGCCATAAAGCAAGTTAAGAAATCATACATTTACTACCTCTAAACAGGGCTGGAAAAGTCCTATTTTTGTCTGAAATATCGCGGCTCTAATATCATATTATTTCAGTAGGTATGAAATCTCGCGGCTCGAATGTCATAATTTTTTGTTTGATTGGAAAATCGAGGTTTGCACTTCACAAACATGTCACTTCATAAAATTTTCAACTTCCGCAATCCGCATTGCTTTACCGTTCCTGCCAAAATATCCTGCAGAAAAAACATAAACATTGTAATGTAAACAAATCAACTAAATGTTTTGTTGAAGATTGCGCATAGTTGCGGTCATGTCAAAGCGGTCAGACTGCATTAACACATGCTCAACTTACAGTAAAGTCAAATTTTATTGTTGCCATTTGACTGTTTTAGGGTAAAATTAGAGATTTGGGGTAACACTTGCATGGACTTTGTAAATAATTTGCGCCTTGTAAATGGCTTTTCATGGCCTAGATATGGAATTCACGGCTCGGTTAAATGGAATCACGGCTCAAAGAAATGGAATCATGGCTGGCAAATCCATAAAACAACGGCTCAAAAAATTCAGTCGCGGCTCACCAAGTAGATATATTCCATGCCTGCCTCTAAAAAATCCCTGAAAAAATTGTGAAAAGTGAGATTTTGGAAAAGTAGCTCTGCTAAGGTCTGTAGCTAGCAAAAAATTTTTTGCCATATTAAATAATTTTACTCACATAAAAGTTGCACACCTATGTGGGCTTGTAAGTGTGATTGACTGAATTTGGGTAGCTCATGCCCCCAAAAAATGACAGCAATTTTGGTGTGATGATGTAATAGGGACACCTTCCCGGGGGTAATAAAGGACAACCCTAAAAACACATTTACAGCAGAACCTCAGTTTGCAAAGGCACCAGACGCCAAGTAGCAAAAAAATCAATTAACAACAAAGAATTTTGATTCAATTTACTATGTTAAATTATTTAACAAATAATTTTACTTAACAAAAAATTCATGCACATACTGTCATCACAAAATTGTGCATAGAATGTCATAGATAGAATTGTGCACTGGTCAACATATTACATAGAATGAAAAGTAATTCACCTAAACTATGATTTCTTTATTATAGTGAACTCATTTGACTCAATTGAAAATTAAAATGGTGCAAAATTACAAGCCATCCTGTAGGCTGTAAGCTCACAGTTACAGAAGAAATGCTATATGGCTGCTGAAATGAAGCTTGCAGGGGACAAGGTTGTTGTCAATGCTCAATGGCATGTCCATGGATACAGTAATATCACATCAATAATATGGTAATGTATGGATATGGTAATGTCATATCAATAAAGAAAAAAAACAAATATAACAGAAAATGTCATTTATTCTACATCTACAAAGGAAGAGGAGGACTTCATAGTACTGTTAGTAATGGATGAGTACACTCTGCATGCTTGAAATGTTTTAAAATTGTTTTATTTCAAGTGTCCCTTATTACTCCGTTCCCAGGGGTAATTCAGGAGGCTTTTATTTTGCTCCTGGTACCTTATGAATAGCATATGGAATTTTCCCAATTTCTTCTGTAAAAAAAGAGAAACAACTTATTTTTATCTGCAATTTTATAAAATTACTCCTAAAACAATTGTTTTTGCCTGCTATTTTAGGAAACTTCTACCTGATGCATGAAATTTTTCAAAAGGGACTTGTAGAACTCAGGAATAAACTTGAAAAAGAGTCTAAAAAGTTGCTGCTTTGCTACTATGCAAACAGGATTCAAATTTTCCTACTTATTTGGATATCTCCTGGCTTAAAACTGACAAATTTTTTAATACAGTTGAAATTTTGCATCCAGATTTTGCACATTTATTAACAATTAGAAGGTAATTTATCTAGCAAGAATCTCGAGCTTCCAAATGTTGTTGGAAAGCTCTGGTTGCTGCTTGAAAGGTAAATGTATGCCAAGCCTGGTAGCAAATGAGGACATTTTTCTTTTGGGGTCAGGTAACCTTGTTTGTGTCAATATAATATAGGTATGCCTTTTCACTCCAGTCCTTATTCAAATAGTGTAAATAGTAAGTGATGAAAATACAACTTAGTCTGTTTAAGAATTTGCTAATTTTTTTAAATCTCTTGCTTCAATACTGCCATTTAACCTCAATAATATTTATGTTTACAGCCATATTCAACAGTTATGGAACATATGGATTTGTGGAAAGAGTGTGAATTTCTAGAGAAAAGCTTTCTATCATAACATAAGTACCTTCTATCTAAATTTGAATCAATATGCTGCATCTATCTGTTGGAGTGGAAATATGGTCCTTAATTTTTAATGAATTTAATGATCTCTGAAATTATCTGCTGATGTTTTGATAAAAACATAAAATGAAGATTATCCACTCATTATTTATATGATCTATGTTCAGCATTATTTATTCAAGTTTGAAAATTCCAATGGTGTGTCAGGGAAATGAATGTCATCCCTGCAGTTGTAGAGCATCTGTGATGCTTCTCCTTGTGGGGATTACAGCACTCATGCCTACTGCTTTATCGGCTCCTACTCTGCCCCTTCATGGTGAGTCTTCACTTATAATGTTGACCAAGTGCAATGTTAGCATCAAATATTCTATATCAATTTTACTTAAAGTATTATGGTACATTTAAAGGCAAATTGTCATTAATTATGACCGTCATGTGGCATGTGCATAATGAGATTTTAGAAACTTGCTTGACATTGACTTTATTATGAATATTAGAAATTTTTTGTTTATATCATTCCAAAATATTCTTCCATGAATACAACTTTGCTTTAATATTTTATAAAATATGATAACTGTGTAATGGAACATACAGCAAGCAGAAAATAATGCTAGCAAGCATTCAAATAATTAATGAGCAAAATAAGAGTATAAATGCTGTCACAAAATATTTTGTTCTGCCAGTGTTGATAATTTTATTATGATTTCAGATGATGCTGGGATCGAGTCTTACTTGTCAGGCTCGAGTGTAGTTGCCAGCTGGCAAGTGGTGGTCTTGGCGCTGGTGTGCATTGTCTGCCCTGTGCTGGTGCTCACCATGTGCCTTTGTTGCGGCAAATCAGTTTTCAAGGTTTGTTCTTGCAGGACAAACAAAAACAAAAATATATAACTCAGTACTCACTGCAGTGAGTGACAGAGCGCATTTTCTTGCCAACGAAAACTTGAGGTCACGGACGGATGGACAGACAGACGGACATGGCCAGCACAATAGTGCATTTTTTCCATAAATGAGAAAATGCGCTAATTATATACATGAGGTTCTCCCAATTATGATGACCAATGACCCAAAACTTTAATTTTTTCATAGATCTCAGACCAAAGGGCTCCTAGGTTTCTCGTCCTTTGGTGTTATCAGTGTCTGCCTGATCCCCCAATTTTCTGATAGAAGACTCTCCCTGAAAATGTAATCATTTTTATTGAAATTGATATGGCAAAAGTTATTTCAGCACAATTTTAGTCTTTCCTATTCCTATTCTATGCTTGTTCTTATTTTAGACATTGATATTGAATTCTCCTGCTTAATAAATTGAGGCTTAAATACATTGAGAGGGAGTTATATATATGTACCGTATAGCATAAATTATTTAACATTCAAGAGACATGAAGTAGGAATCCATTAAATTAGGAAAGCTTTCTTTTTCCAAAATATCCTAATATTTATGATCTAATTGATTTTAATAAATTTACTTATACGTGTTCATGTAAAATTATGTCAATAATAATGGGTCACTCCTAACAACATTTTCATCCATTTTATTTTCTAACTAAATTTTTCTCTTTATATTCACATTTCTATAATCTAATGGATTTTTAACATTTAAAGTAAATTGTTTTAAAAATAAGGGTCCTTCCATGCCTACCAACTGCCATTCTGTACCTATTGCCCACACTGCCACTTCCCTTTTACCTGCCTGTTCCTATATCCTCTACCTGTTTGTCATCTACACGTTTCACATGGTTGTCATCTACACGTTTCATATAGTTGTCATCTACACGTTTCACATGGTTGTCATCTACACGTTTCACATGGTTGTCATCTACACGTTTCACATGGTTCTCATCTACACGTTTCACATGGTTCTCTTGGTTTCTTGTCTTCTAATATGACTTCTTGTCTTCCAGTCTACAAGGTTTACAGAATCTACATCCCAAATACCTGTAAGTTTATAATTACTTAAATTCATCTAATTTTGTGAATTAATTGCCAAAATTTATCTGTTTTTTTTTTAAATCATATTGCTTAAATTTTCTGTTTTTTAAGAATTTATTGAGTAAGTTTGCAATAAATTTGTTTTGCCAAAACAAATGAATTTTTGTGCATAGATTTATAATTTTAACTGCAAGAATGCTTGAATTATGAGTCTCGAATTACTAACTGGCTTGGTAATAAGGAAAGGTTCTTGAATTCATGAAAGTTCATATACTCTGTGCATTTCAAGTTTTATATCCTTCTCTTCACTGGGAATAATTTCTATGACAAGCTTAAATTTATTTACGTATATGTTTTTCTTATAATACAAAATTGTTGTTTGAATATTTAATTCTGACGGAATCCTATTTGCCATTCTCTCTTTCTTGTAGAAATGGTACGTTGTACTCGGCACATTTAGCTAATAATTTGCGTGGTTCTTGCTTACAATTAACTCAATTGAATGTAAATTATTTGTTTGTTTCATACTTTTCTGTGAAATTATATTGATGTATTGTAAGAAGTGTACAATGATTTTTATTGAAATTATTGTGTTAATGAAGCATCGTTAATGCAGGAGGTGAGAATTATATTGATGTACGGTATTGTAAGTATATGATATAATTGGTACTATTGAAATCATTGTGTTAATGTAAGAGGTGAGAATTATATTGATGTATTGTAAGAAGTTTACCTACCATGATTGGCTCTGAAATCATTGTGTTAGTGAAGTATTTTTAATGCAGGATGTTAGAATTATACTGATGTATTGTGAGAAGTATATGCTATTGGTATTGAAATTATTATGTTAATGAAGTATTGTTAATGCAGGAGGTGAGGAACATCAGCTCCCAAGTCTCCCAGGACGTCCAGCTGCATGGCCTGCCCCCCACCCACCAAGCTCCTCTACAAGACCAAGTTCAGTTCGAACCTCTGCCAGATCTCAGCCATGTTTGGAAGCCATCTCACTTCCCCAGCCCAACTGCTGCTAGATTTTCTCAAACATTTGACGAAGATTTCTCTGAAGATTCCGCATCAATCGTACACTGGTTTGGTTCCCCACACCAGAACTTCCCCCGCCGCCAGCTCCAGTATGTCCGACAGATCGGCATGGGGCGGTATGGTTTTGTGCTGGAAGGTCGCGCTGTTGGTCTCTTCACTGACCACACCAGCACCCCAGACTCTTGTACCTCATCCCCGAGATCGCTGCCCAGTCCTTCATCCCAGCACATCCCTGTGGTGGTTAAGACTCTCAGAGAGGAGGCTGACCAGCAACTGCAGGCTGCGTTCCTCCAGGTCTGTAGTCAGGGGCTTTCATTGCAAACTGAACCTTGATATACGTTTAACTTGCAATCTTAACATATATCCATATATAATATTTTCTACTCTATTACTAAACCTTTTCAAATGTTTTTATTCTTCACCAGGAAATGGCACCATACAGAGTTCTTGATCACCGGAACGTTCTTCGGGTGCTAGCGGTGTGTCTGGAGAGTGCGCCGCTGCTGGTACTGTTACAGTTCTGTCAGAAGGGCAGCCTGAAGCGCTACCTGCAGCAGGAGGGTAGTGCCCTTACACAGCGACAACTGCTGACGATAGTGACGGACGTGGCGGCAGGCTTGGCTCACATGCACCAGCACAACTTCTGTCATGCAGACCTCGCCGCTCGTAACTGTCTCGTTGACGCTGACAATGTCGTCAAAGTTGGAGACTATGGCTGCAGTTTGGATAAATACAAGGTGATACTTCAATGTTGTCTGCTGTTTATATGTTGTGTTTGAACTTTTTTAGGCTATTACTCATCTCACAAGTATGGCTGAACTTATTTGCTTGGCAGCGAGCAACATTAGCGATAAATCATCACCCATAGTGCCTTTCTATTTTAGTCCTTCAAGCCATTGTAACAAAAGCCCCAAAGTTAAGCGGAAAAAGTAAGGAATCCATGGTCACTCTAGTGGAAAAGCATGTCTGCCGCACCTCACGCATATTTATCACCTAAGTTTTCATTTTTGCCGTCCCGGCCCTGGTGGTAAGATGTTCATGCCTTGCCGTACACGTAGTATCAGTGGTAGTCGTATCAGTGGTGGCCTTCGACTGGCATGTCGTTACCTTGAGCACCGAAGTGGTATGGAATTTGCGTGTGCTCAACCACTTCATTTGCGTATGGTACCCAACTTGATAGGTAAATTGCCGTAACTTCAGTTTGTTGGCGTTTAATTCTAGCCTACAGAACCTTCTGATATAACACGTTTCTCCTCAGGTCAACTTTTATTCTCTGGTCGTATTTAACGCAATATTACCATGGCATTCCTAGGTACTGAACAACATGTTATCATCGTAAATTGTATGCATTGTTTAACGGATATTTTTTTCTCCCCTTGAGGCTGAATATTACCTGGCTGGGGACATCGCTCTTCCTCTGCGCTGGTGCCCCCCTGAGAGTCTTGTCTGCACCCCCACCACCATTCACACCAGCCGGGTCAGTTCATTTACATTTATTATCTTTTTCAATTTTACTATTATCTATTTCAGAATATAACATGTATGTAAATCAATATGTGCAATAGGGAAAAAATGAGAAGTATAAAAAATGAGAGAAGTATAAACCAGTGCCTATTCACAGCTCTCCACTAACCCGTTGGATGAATGCGATCGAACGAAGTATTTGCATATAACTGGTATATTTGCATAACTGGTATATTTACATAACTGGTATATTTGCACATACCAGTTTCATAGCTCAAACCTTCTGCTCGTCGTCTAACATTTGCAAGTTTATATCATGAACTGAAAAAAAGTATTTTCACTTTTGTTTTCTGTATTTGTTATTTAGTTTCTTTAATTTTTCCTTATTTGAAATCTTGTAAGATTTCTCTCTAATGATGTTCTTCCAGGCTTTTAGGAACGTCAGCTCATATCCTTCATAGATCGCTGCTTCAAGTCTAATGGTTTCGAACCTTTATTTTCTACGGCTTTAGAACTTTAATTTCAACGATTTTGAACCATTTGTTTTCCGTGGTTTATTTTCACACGTTACGATATTATTTATCATGAAGGGTGTGATATCGAAAATAAAATGAAATTAAAGCTCGATCTTCTCGAGATGGAACATTACAAAATGAACAACGAGGAAGAATGAAGAATGTGACGTGTACTTGTAAGGCTCTCAGATACTAACATTCCTAGTAGATACGTTTATGATTAGTTTCCGCACCCACCTTGATGTTTAGGGGAAATAAAATTTTCCATCGTTATGAGAAAAGGCATGAGGCCTAAACAAACGGGCTCCCGTTTTCTCCTTGTTACTCTTCTGCCATCATCCAAATTAAAGTTTCACAGATTGGGTAAGTCATTTACAATGAGCTCATGTTTTGCGTTACGATCGTTTCAAATGCCTTGTTTTTTATAAAGCGGTGAGTATTTAATTGAACTTAAAACTTAACGAGTGTTTTGATTGCTGTCCACTTGTCCTTTCTTAGCCTCCTCGAGATGATAACGCCTCTTTCTCACCTCTTGGTGAACGCCTCTTTGATACGAGATGATAACGCTGCCTCTTTCTCGCCTCTCAGGAACTTTCTGCCACGCGTTCTTTGCCATTTTTTCGCCGCATCGAAAATTCTGTGATGATTGAGACCTTTCACCTTGTTTATGATCAATAACTCTAGTCTTCTTTTTATGAGAAATCTTCAGAAATAAGCCTCGGTAAGGTTCCAGTCGCTCTTATTCCACCACATACCGGTACTCTTATTTCACCACTTGCTCTTATTCCACCACTTCCACTTATTCCACCACTTCCACTCATTCCACCACTTCCACTTATTCCACCACATCCACTTATTCCACCAGTTTCACTTATTCCACCACTCCCACTTATTCTACTCATTTCACTTATTCCACTTATTCCACCACTTCCACTTATTCCACCACATCCACTTATTCCACCACTCCCACTTATTCCACCACTCCCACTTATTCCACTTGCTGATGAACGCGTCATTCGTGCAGGTGAACACGTGGGGCAACGTGTGGAGTTACGGCGTGCTGTGCCACGAGGTCTACGTGCTGGCAGCGCACTTGCCCTACCCGCACCTGTCTGACGAGGAGGTCCTCCAGCAGGTCGTCGTGCAGCAGACACTCACGCCCGACCTGCCTGCCGACCTGCACACTCAAGTGTCAGTTCCTTGGCCTGCCATGTGTAGGATCTTTGGCCTGCCATGCGCAGGATCTTTGTCCTGCCATGCGCAGGATCTTTGGCCTGCCATGCGCAGGATCTTTGGCCTGCCATGCGTGGGTTGTGTGTGGCTGTTGACCCCGGGATGTGCGTGGCTGTTGACCCCGGGATGTGTGTGGCTGTTGACCCCGGGATGTGCGTGGCTGTTGACCCCGGGATGTGTGTGGCTGTTGACCCCGGGATGTGTGTGGCTGTTGACCCCGGGATGTGTTCGTTAACATCCTTGGATGCTTAGTTTTTTTTTTTCATTTTTCGCAATTAAAAGTAAAGTCTGGATCATGAAAATTATTATTGCCATTTGGCTTGGGTGATGTTATTGTTGCGCTTATTTTGTTCAATATCTTGAACACTATTGAACACTATTTGAAAGTGTTCAATAGTGTTCAATAATAGCGTTTACTTTCCTGGAAGTGAACACTATTGTTCAAGTGTTCACTTGAATAATATTGCTGAGTAAATAGTAACTTGCCCTCCATACTACTACAAAGTAAGTAGCCAAGTATCGTTGTGTTTGTACCTGAGATAAATAATCGACGTATTGCAGGCGTTGTTTGATCCAGCAATGCTGGGTGCCGGAGAGCAGCCGTATCAGCATGACAGCCTTACACAGCGGCCTGTGCCAGCTGTTGCTGCAGCTATATGGCTTCCAGCATCCCTCTAGTGACCCCGACAGCCTGCCTTCATCCCTCCATCTCCCCTCCTGCCCTCGCTCACACGAAGATGACCTGGAGGAGAAGTGGAACAAACTGGAGCGGCTGGAGCGAGGAGCTAAAGATCACAGTGTCTCTGCTGTCGCGTCTCCTCGAGAGCAGCTAAGGTATGTGATGATCTTCAATGTTGTTTACTTCGTATCTTCACTCACGGGTTCTACATTAATGCGGTTTTGTTGGTCATTGATGACAGGTGCGAAAAAATTTGAGTTACACGCCTTTAAATTTTCGCTATCCCATTCGTTTTATTCCTTTCGCGTGCAAGCTTAAAAATAAACAATAACTGAAATTTCTGAAGCCAGTATTATATGATATATTTACTTGTATTTATTTTTAAAAGTTTTGCATATTGCAGGAGTAAATCGTACTCGAAGAATTTATTGAATGCGATCACTTCGCCAGTTTTCTTCATTATAATTCAAATTTAGTTTATGAAAGTGTAAAGAGTAATAATTCAAATTTAATTCATTATATATATTTATGTTTTTTATAAATTTATAATACAAAATTGTATTCAATCGATTTGCATGATATTAATGTATTTATCCGTCTTTAAAAAAATTGCGGATAGAGCGTCAATTCCATTTTCCGAGACGAATCATTCATTTAAATGCTCTTATTGCTATTTTCTGTTATGATAGGATGAGATGCGTATGGAAGGTATGTCAGATAATCGCTGATTGCCACAGGCATGACAACGTAGACTCAAACACTGACCAGTGTTAATGGATTCACATTAATGTTTGATAAATTATCTGGTGAACCTTGGTGGGTGAAATATTTATTCCATGGGAGAGTGGGAGTAAATTTTTTCTTCTGGCACAGGTTTGAAAATGACTTCGTAACGTCCGTGGACGAAGATCTGGAGGCCAGAGTGGCGGCCACGTTTGGGACGAGCGCCCCGTCGTGGCTGGGACTAGACCCTGACCAGCCCATGGACAGCCTCACCAGGGAGATCAGCTCAGCCATCCAGCGTCTGGACGACGCACTGGCCCTCCCCGCTCAGCTGGATGCTGAGCTCGTGAATTCAGCGCCGCCCGACGCCGAGTGTGACGACCAACTTGTTCCTGCCTTCGTCATCGGCAAAGACTCGCTGGTGACTCGAGCTCCCAGGAGCCTTGCTAGCCTCAGTGCCAGCACCTCCAACCTCACCAGCATCGGGGCCGAGGCCGCGACGCCTGCTGAGGCGGGGCCTCTTGAGTCCATCAATAAGTTTGTGCACCTGAGTTCCAGCGCAGGGTTCATGTCGCAGATGGGTCTTGAGGACGATGGTCTTAGCTTGCGGCTTGAAAAAGGCGAGTTCGCTGAGCTTGTTAAGCAGAAGAGCATGAGTGTGCAGAACCTCATGAGACTAACGGTCGTCAACTTTGATGATGACTCGGGAGAAAGCGACTCCTCGTGCAAGTTTAGTCTTGGCCACAAAAATATGTATCAGACAACTTCCGAAATTGAAATGCCTGGCAGTACTGATGAGAAACAGCCGCTGGCATTAATAGGCAGCAATAGCAGCCTCTTGTCCTCGGCATTAAGTAATGAAAATTCCACTCCAACTTGCTCGTCGTCTGTTCGGGATCATTTTTTAGTGGCAGCTAACTCCTCTGAGCTGCTGCTTCAGGAGGAGTTGTCAGAACGCGCTTCTTCGTCACTGACGGGCGACGGCAGTGAATCTAATTTGCTACAAGAAACTGGGCGCAAAAAATCCACTTTAGATGCTCACGCCCTCTACGAAAAAGACATTGTGACCGGCTCAGTCGACTCGCTGGCTGGTGGCTTCAACATAGGCTTGGATGATGCGAGTAGCCAGGACGAAAAAGACCGGCAAGTTATGGAAACTAATTTAGTGCAGTCAGATCTGGAAATTCCGCGCTACCAAAGCGACGGAGTAAGTCATGTAAAGAATAGTTCCAGTGACAGTCCATGGACATCCGAAAATTCAGTTTTTTCTTCCAACTCAAAGAATATAATCACTACTGAAGCTCACATTTTCGCAACACCCGACGTAACGCTAGACGCTTGTCACAGCCTCGGGTGCGGCAGTGAAGTACAACAACAGGATCGTGCTGCCTACGACGGCTGTCTGGCCCCTCTACCTGATATCGTTGTACATGATCAAGTCACTCACAACACAAGAGTGAACAATGAGGCTAAAGTCAATAATAAAGATTCCTGTTCGGTTTCCGTCGAAACCGAAACGGATTCTCTTCGGCTTTCGAATGACAGGCTAGGAAATTCTACAGACTACGAAGATCTGAATTGCAATGAATTGTCTCATTCTCTAAGGAAAATTAGTACTGTGTTCGACAATACTGGTAATGGAGAGAGCACTCCCGGAAATTCACCAGAATCTGATCTTGAAATGATCAAATTTGACTTTAATGCGTCACTTGAGTCGACCAGTGAGATGAACAGTTCCCTAAAGTTTGACTCTGAGCTGAACTCAACGTTCACTATATTGTTGAGTAAAGATAATCAGAGCAGAGACAGTGAAACATCAGGTATTGGGACAGGCGCAGCCACAGCGTTTGATGAAGACAGCCCGAACTGCAGCAGCATTTTCGCCTCTGAGAGGTTCTCGTCGGACAGCGTCTTTCTGGACGGCACTTTTGACATTGTGCGCGAGGACTCGACTCGAGACCAAGCTAGCAGCCTCGAGCTGCAGCTGGCAACCGCGCCTGAATACGCCTGCGCAGTGCTTGCTTGTGACGGGGCTATTTCAACTCCAATAAGGACGGAATGTGAAGACGTCTCTGTCACAGGAACTGAAAATAAGGACGTCACTGTCCCCGTAACTGAAAATAAAGACGTCACTGTCCATTTAACTGAAAATAAGGACGTGACTGTACCTATAACAGATAGTGGAAACGTCAGTGCCTCACTATCTGATAGTAAAAACGTGATTGTTCCCATTGCTGACAGTGAAGACGTTATTGTTGCCATGAGTGATTGTGAAGACTTCAACGTCAAGAAGGCCAAAGGAAAAAATGTCCCTGTTACTACGGCTGGAGATGAAGACTTCCATGTCCCAACGGCTGGAGATAAGGATGTCTCTGTCTCGACGGCTGGAGATGAAGACTTCCATGTTCCAACGGCTGGAGATGAAGACTTCCATGTCCCGACGGCTGGAGATAAGGATGTATCTGTCCCAACGGCTGGAGATGAAGACTTCCATGTTCCAACGGCTGGAGATGAGGATGTATCTGTCCCAACGGCTGGAGATAAGGATGTCTCTGTCCCAACGGCTGGAGATGAAGACTTCCATGTTCCAACGGCTGCAGATAAGGATGTCTCTGTCCCAACGGCTGGAGATGAAGACTTCCATGTTCCAACGGCTGGAGATAAGGATGTCTCTGTCCCAACGGCTGGAGATGAAGACTTCCATGTTCCAACGGCTGGAGATAAGGATGTCTCTGTCCTAACGGCTGGAGATGAAGACTTCCATGTTCCAACGGCTTTAGATAAAGATATCTCTGTCCCAACGGTTAAAGGAAAAGACGTCCCTGTAACGGTGGCTGAAGGAAAAGACGTCCCTGTAACGATGGCTGAAGGAAAAGACGTCCCTGTCCCAACGGTTAAAGGAAAAGACGTCCCTGTCCCAACGGTTAAAGGAAAAGACGCGTCTGTCCCAACGGTTAGAGGAAAAGACGTCCTTGTAACGAAGTCTGAACGAAAAGACGCCCCAGTCCTCATAGCTGAAGATGAAAATGTTCTAGTCCTGACCGCTGAAGATAATGACGTCCCAGTCCCGATGACTGTAACTGCGGATAAGTTTGTTCCGATAACTCCAAGTACCGACTTGCTGGTCCCAAAAACTGGAGGCTCTGAATCGAGCCTTTTTGATGTTCATCGGGAATCTTTTTCTACCTTAGAAAATTCTGACTTTGCCGTGAATTTTTCCTCTGACGTCGTCCATGAGATACATGCTCGTGATGGCTCTGTTACCGAGGGATGCTCCTTCTCGATGGCTAAGTTATTCCCCTTGAATGTTTTAGATTGGAGCGTTGATAGCCTGCCTCCCAACAGCATCCTCGACCGCCATGCCGGTGGACGTCGCTCTGTGAACAGCGCTGTCTTAAGTCCATCGAAGACAGAATGTCCCGCCGTGACCGAGGAAAATATCATAACTGGAGTGACAGAGACGGGAGTTGTTACAGAGATAGGTGATGATGGTGCAGTTCTTTCTCCAATTATTCCTATAGATTCACAAGGAAGCTCTAATGATTCTAGACTGAATGACGAAACTATCGCAGTTGTGAAAAAATCAGAAATAGATAATTGCAACGATGTGTCGGATCATGATGACTTGACAAAATTTATGGATGTTGGATCTAAGACGTTTGAAAATGATAAGGATGACGCTAGAGAAATTGTATCTTCATCGGATGGAGATGCTGGTTCTGAAAATATCTTGTCAACATTCAGTGTTCCAAGCGATGTATGTAACGCTGAGGCATTTTCTACTCCGGAAAATAAGCCTGGATTTACCATGGACGCAATAAATGATCTGTTCAGTGTGGATTCCAAGGAAGTTCATATTATTCATCACGACTTATCCGGTGCCGATATGAAGAATGAACTCGAAAACGGCGTCTCACCTTCTGTTAACAATTTATTGCCTCTCAAGTTGATGTCAAGTCGTGGTTTTGACAAAGACATTGTCAATGCTCATTCCAGCTCTGGAAATGAAGATAAGACCGCTCCTCTCGATGAGGAATGCAACCTAGACTCATTGAAATATGATGCCGCAGCTGAAGACAATAAATCGATTTCTCCAGAGTCAGATAGCAATGCAACTTCGATGACGGATCAAAGATGCGGGCTTCTGAGTGCAGACAAAACCGAAAGTGATGCCATGACCGCCTCATCCACGAGCATCAACTCCGACATCGCTATCATTGACACCCCTGAGGCTGATGCCAACGAAGGCGATTTCTGGCAGCAGCAAATGTCAGCCTGGAAAAATGCTGCCCAGGAAACTCGAATGCTGCTCTTGCAAGCGGCGACTTCTTCCCCGATTACGAAGCATGATGATGTCCTGAGATCCGGTCACCAGGCCGGTGACGATTTCCCCACACCCAGCAAGTTGACAGATGCTGACATTGACACGCTCTCGATGACAAGCTCCTCAGCGTATTCTATTAACGACCGGGATAACGACTGCAGCTTTGAGAGTTCGCCCTGTAGAAAGAAATACCCTGTTACTCCTGCCCACGCTCATCTTGGATTGAGGTCTGCCGACAGCAGCTCCGACACATCACCAGTCTGTAGCACCGCGAGGTCCCGCATGTTGTCTGCAGATCCTGGGCTTGCAAAGAACGAGCGAAGTTCTTTCCCGTCACCTTTTAAGAGGCCGTCCATTCCTGCTTCCCCCTCGTCCAGTTGCGGCAGCGAGTCTCCTTCAGGGGTTCACAGCAGCTACGTGTCATACGCTGACGAGGCTTTCCATGACTCTGAAGGCGCAGATTTACTTGGCTATTGTTCTGAGGATCTCAATGCTTTGAGGGCTGAGCTCTCACTTAAGCTTCCGCCTTCTCCCCGGGAAAAAGACGCTTCAGAAGCTTTCATCGGTGGTGCCCAAAGTGAGGCCAAGGATTTCGACGAAGAGGGCTCCCCTGGCTACGACTACTCCAGTTGTGGGGAGGATGTAGAAGTAATCGACCACACCCGAGATCATGTGATTATCAATTACCGTCCTCCAACAACTCTGTCCCCCATCAAAGAAGAACCCAGTGGGTCCGTCGGATGGGACTCTATGAACATCGATGATAATTCAGTGTCCACGTACAACAGTAGCATTGAACTCGTTGAGAACGGCGTCGATAATCCTTCGACTTCTGCTTCTGGTCTTGTTAAAATTGAGGACTCAGCCGTGATTTCCTCAGTTCAGTTTAACAATAAAATATTTAATTCCGATGACTTGAAAGAACCTGATGATGATCAAAGTTTCCAGTTGAAAATAGCCTCGGAAAAGCTTGTTGACAGAAATAAGGTTTCGGAAGAGCGAAGCGTTTCTCAACCTCCAATTTCTTCATCGAGTGTAATAATGACGGCGAACAACGAAATTATTCCCATGGACCGGACGAGTTTGATTCTTGAAGACCTGGAAACTGAAGAAGATGAACGTTTGGTCTTGGTTTTCACTCCTCGTGACGATCCGGAGAAGCCCCAGACCCTGGACTCGGAAGACCTGCTGGTGGTAGATCTTGACTCGAACCAAGCAAGCCTCGTCGAGACCCCTAAGCCCAGGTCGTTGTTGGCATTCGTCCATTCACCGCCGATGTCGCCCCATGTTCGCGATGTTCCCCCAACATCATCTCTTGGTGAAAAATCTTTTGTCACCGAAACGGAGGCTTTGGAGCGGTTGCACCAGGATTATCAAGATGATGTAGATCAGGATTCATTGCCGTATGAAGTAAACTCTTCTAGCGACAAGCTTTTGTATTTAAAGTTTCGGGAGAATTCATCGGATAACAACCTTGATGCCGGAAGGTTGCGATTGGCCAAAGAAATTCCGAGCTCAGGACCGAGAAGCATGGATTGCGTGCATCTAAGTGACCCGCTTTGCGACATGAATCTGGACTTTGCTTGGCAGCAACGCAGTTTAGACAATTTAAAGCTTGGTGAGTATCATCCAGCGCCTGAGAACGACAACTCAAATGACCCTAGTAGAGATGGCGAGCTTCTCGAGCATAATGGATGTTTGACGACCAACTCTCCTAACACAGCCAGTGAAGGCACGAGTCATTCTTCTGGCCTCATGTTCCGCCTGGGGGTTGAGGACAAGGATGCACCAGAAGAAGGAGTGTCGCGATATCAGCCTTATTTCAGCACCTCCCTCAATTCTTTGTCACAGCTCGACAGCTGCGTCCTCTACGGGGAGGATCATGTCTCCCTTCCTTACACCGTCAACTTGCAGTCGCCCGATGGTCCGAGTAGAGGAACTGAACCACAATCAACCAACGCGTCCAACTTCAAGTCACTTGATTCTGCGGTGAGCTCCAAAAATGATAGGCGCCGGCCAATCGCCGAAGACACGTTCATCAGATCAGAAGAGATCGACTTGAAAGACAAGATGGTTCGGGAGTTGGGGAAGCAAATTGAGTGCGTGAAGTCTTATAGAAAAGAGAAACGCGCACAGAGTGGAGACGAAGAAAGTTCTGATGAGGAACTCACTTCTTTCAGTTTGGGTTTGCTGACGCAGGCTTGCAATGGCTGCAACAACGGGGATTCTGCTGAGGGCTCATTGCGTCTTTCAGATGACGAAGAACGAGGTTCTCCTCACGATTGTAACGGCGTCGACAATGTCGTGCAATCTAATGACCACGGCAGTATCGTGCACTACGACTCTGACGACTACAGCGCTGAGACGGACTACACGGGGTCTAACGAGCGCCGCGTGTACGACGCTCTGCGGGGCGATGATGACGTGGCCAAGTCCAACGACCTCATCCCCAGGCCCATGAACCCGGAGCCTGCTGAGCTCAGCGACATCCCATGCACTCCTTCGCCCTCCATGAGTATCGATTGTTCTGCCGGGGTTCCGACTGCAGATGAAGAATTGAACTTGAGTACTGCTTCAAGTGAGGTTCGCACGCCCGTTAGGTCAATTTTAATTGCAGGGCCTGGAGCTAAATTTGACACCCATGCAGGTTCGGACTCAGACATGTCGGGCACAGGTAACGAATCTAAACACTACCGGGCTTTCCACTCGAGCTCCTTGGTGAACACGGAAGACACTGAGTCTGCAGAAGATTTAATTGAAGATCTTAGCATCGGAGAAACAAAGTCTCTCTTTCCGAGTCCTGTAGTAACTCCTGGGATGCTTGCAAGCGTTCGGTATAGAATCGATTCGGGTATTCCCGTTGAATCTCCTTTATGTGCGACTCGATCTGACCACCATGACGCGGGAAATGAAAATTATCATGCGAGTTCTCAACAAAATGACAATAATGACAACATTAATGACTCTGTCGATATTACTACTGCCATAAAGGATGAGAACAACACTTCATTGCATCCTGGATATAGAAATGAATATTTTCCTCCTGGTAATAACGACAACAGCAGCCGTTTTCCTACAATTAATGATAACAATATCAGTGTTGTCGGCGTCAGCAACAATGACAACCTCATTGCTGACAATGTGGGAGCTCGGGATGATGTTTACTCCCCCGACTGGGAAGAAGATGATGGGGGTGAAGGCAGCCCCAGCAAGATGGGTGTTCCTGACGTGAGCATTGACAGCGGGGATGACGAAGAGGCGCCCTCTGAGTCCGACGCTTCAGAGGACGACTCCAGCAGCAGCGGCGAGTTTGTGTGGCAGGTAAGAGAGGGCGAGGCTGACATAACTTTATTGAGAGCTGACATAACTTTATTGAGAGCTGACATTACTTTATTGAGAGTATGAACTACTAGAGAAATCTCGGTCGTACTATCGAAAATAGTTAAGAGTTCGTAACTCCTGTCACTGATGGCTCAATATGAAAATTTCAAAACAACTTCTGGTCACCAGCGCTTGCTTACGACTTTTAGCTAAGGTGCTGCTTTTGTTAAAACTTTGCCTGAGAGTCTCTAGTTCACGCTAGTCCGTTACTGCCTGCGTCACTCAGAGCAGTTTTATTTATTTACAATAGTTCCCACTACTTGTGTAATTATCATTTATTTATATCATGTGTTATCATTTATTGACTGGATGGGTCATCATTTATTGATATGATGGGTTATGATTTATTGATATTATGGGTTATCACTTATTGATATCATGGGTTATCATTTATTGATATCATGTGTTATCATTTATTGATATCATGTGTTATCATTTATTGACTTCATGGGTTATCATTTATTGATATCATGTGTTATCATATACTGACTTCTTGGGCTGATGTGCAGTCTGGGGACGCCCCCCTCGCTCGCCCCGCCCTCCCCACGAGCATCCCTGAGGAGGCTGGGGAGGACCAGGAGGCTGGGGAGGACCAGGAGGCCTCGTGTGATGAGGACAGCGAGAGTGGGGAGGAGGAGTTCACCCCATCCTTCTGGGACGCCTCCCGCACCCCCACGCGCTCCCTACTCAAGGTGACACAACTTCCCACCTAGTTATCTATTCTCTATAGCTGGTATGTTCTTTCTAGGTATCTATTCTCTATAGCTATATATTCTTTATAGGTATCTATTCTCTATAGCTATATGTTCTTTATAGGTATCTATTCTCTATAGCTATATATTCTTTCTAGCTATCAGTAATCCTCCCTGTTTATCTATAATTCGCCATGTTATCTATTCTTCTTACTACCTATATTGACTATTATATTCATCCCATACTTGTATGTTGCATGTTCAATAAGCGTTTATTCTTTATCGCTTCTTACGGTTATGCCTTCACTTATTTGTTCGCGTTAACATTAACTCATTAACCTGTTATAGGGTTTGAATATCAATGGTTGATCATCCCAACACCGAGCCTTGACGAGAGAGCAAACTTATTTTCTCTAATTATGGAGAAGTTTTTGGGATTTATTGATAATAATTATTTCTAACTGTATAATCAATCTGAAATTTTGCGTAAAGTCGGAGACAGTGCATGAATCAATTGACAGAATAACTAATTTTGAAAATTTAGAATTTTTTTTCTTATACCTATACCATAAAAAATGGTAAATAATTTTTTGTGTATTTATAAATGAAAAAAAAATCAATTCACTGTACATGTGTAACATCGGAGGCACTGCCTCTTTGGACGTGTTGTCTTTAAAAGGTAATTTTTAAAGACAACACTTCGTACCCCTAGGACTAAGTTGTTCATAACTAGTCCTGTTTATTTCGATATAATGTTAGGTCTTGTTTAGGTTTTATGTCTGTCTTTGAATTTTGACTTTTAAAGTGATTTTATTCATTTTTAGTTTAGTTCGTTTTCAATATCGATATGGTGAATTTTCTTGGCGTTTTCTTTGCTTTTAAATTCCTTGTGTCCTTGAAGTTACACACTCACTACCCCACTCCCCCTTGCAGTCCCAGGCGCAGTCCCACGACAGGTCGGTGCACTGGAAGCGGCAGCGCCATCACCGCGTCTACGAATACCCTCCTGAACCTCCACTCCCCACCTTCCCTCCCCCTCCCTCTCACAGACCTCTCTGGGACCCCCCCATGACCCCCTTCTCCCCCTCACATCACCAGTGGGGGATGGAGTATGCGCAGGGGGATGCATATCCCCCTCCCCCTATCCGGTCATACATGCAGGGGGGTTTTTTGCAGCAAGATGGTAAGTATTGAATTTATATTTTGCTGTAACTTTTGATGGGAAAATAAACAAATATGTTGTGGAAAATAAACTTATTTTCAGCTTTTTTTGGGTGCGAAGAAGAGTCCGAACTTAAGGATGTGATATAAGGAGTATATGCAAGGTACAATGCAGTCTGACGTTCCATTTGCATAAAGAATGTAAACTAAGTATTTCATTCGAGATATTCTTTAAACTGTTCCACTTTTTCCGCTTGTTAGGCTTAGTGATGAATGTATGCCTCAACAATACTTTGCTCGTGCAGGTTTCTTGCTCGATGACGGTGAATTTTACAACCCTGATATACACTACAACTTCAGCCAGTCTTCCTTCACCCCCGCCGAGTTCTACCCCAACGACAACCCTAACCCCAACCTTACAAATTTCCATGCCAACGAAGCTTCAAACATCACCAGCCTCCAGTCCCAGTATATGGCGACATCTGGCAACAATATGGCGGCATCTGGCAACGATATGGCGACATCTGGCAATGATATGGACCCGCAGTTGCCACCTACCCACGAACAGCTTCAAAACATGCTATATTGTCATCAATTCCCACCAACCACTTCTAGTGTTGAGTCATCTTCCTTAGTTCATCCTCGGAACAACCTCGGGAAACCTCCACCAGCTGCCAGCAACGTGCATGAGGCAAAGATGGAAAGTTGCACCGTGATGGATGTTAGTGGATTAGATAACCAATCAACCGTGGATGAAACCAAAAGTGCAGCCAGTGTTGGGGAGTTAAGGCACCTCAAAGAGCAGCTTAAACTGGATATTCCTACACTAGGAAGCAACGAGAACAGTGGCCCTGTGTTCCTAGACTCCGAAAGACATTCCCTTGCTGAAACCGAACCCGTAATTGATCAAGATTCAGAAAAGCGCTCGATTTTGCAGTCAGAAAACGGAGGTGGCTCGAAATTAGGTCAGGACTCTCGGGATGTCGGTATTTCTGAGCGTGACGTTGGTATTCTTGAGCGTGACGTCGATATATCTGAGCGTGACGTCGATATTTCTGAGTGTGACGTCAGTCATAACTTAAGACCACTCGGCCCAGAACTCAAGTCTCGTAACGATCGCTCTGCAAGTCCAAAACTTCCGGAACAATCAAATTGTTCATTATCTGAGTTTGGGGACATAGATCGTGTGCAAAATGAAGAAAATGATGACGCAGCAAATAATGAAAATGATGACAGGATTTCTGAGGATGGTGACATTGTTGAAGGTGATCCTTGTAGCTGCAAGCCTTCGACAAGTTCAGCTGTAGTTGCAGCAACTTAGTGGTACTCTAAATACTATTTCTCTTTAGGAAGTTTCACAAAATATTCTTTTAGTTTTTGAAGTAGCTTCATCTTATTCATGTAGATTCATGCACCGATTCATATAGTTTTATATTATGGTCATTTTAGCATGTAGACGTTTATTATATGTGTTTTAGTGCGCACTTAGTTTACAATAACAGTGAAACTTCAGCGTGAAACTTTTGTGTGGAAATAATATATTTACTGAGGGAGGGCGTGAAAACGAACGTAGTGATTTGTCTGTAACGTGTGTACTTATTTACTGACATTCCACTCAATCAATCGTGTACACATTAGTACAACTCCTTGCCAGTTGCTATGAGTTTGTGCTGAAATTATTTTCTTGTTAGTGTTCCTTCAATAATATTAGTATTCTTTCTTGCTGTCTTGTTGAATGTTGCTAAATTATTGTGTGGTCATCATAATTTCTTGTACGTATTTGACCTGCTTTAGCGTCAACTTTAATCTTTTAGTTTCCTTTTTGACTTAGCCGTCAGTTACGTAGAATTAGAATATTATTACGTACCAACGCAAAAATTCATTACCTAGAATTACAATAAAATTCATTTTAGTGAAAAAAAAATCATTTTAGTAAAATGAAAATTCTAAATATTGGCAGTAGCAAATACGAAGCATGTGTGGGGTCTCACTCCAATCGTAGCGAAGTTTTCTTCGTTAAAATTTGAAAAGAATGTTCATTGTTTAAGTCTAAGTGCATTTGTAATATTTATATTTTAAATCAATCCGCTATTTGAATCTCTTGATGATTGTCATGACATTTTATGTTTCAAAGTTAGTTAAGGTACATTTTAAAAGGTGTTTTTGGTGAAACTTGCCTGTTATGTTTAATTGTATTTATATAGCCTGGGTAAATGTCTGGGATAATTATTATGCATGGGGACTGTTCTACATGAACGTGATGTTCTGCAATGATGGAAACTTCGTTAATACAACGTGGCTTCAATCCTCGGGTATGCTTTGTCTTCTTTGAGGTGGGAGAGGTGAAAAAATTTTCTTTCCTGTGCTCATCCTGATAAGTTTATTAATTGTTTGAATTTCATTAACACTAATAATTTTCTGTGGGAATGGTCCTATAATAATTAGCTCTGTTGTTCCTGATAAGTTATAATTCGGTGTTGAACTTCATACTTCATAAATTTTCTGGCTGTCGATCGTGGTTACATTGTAGGTCTTGTTTTGTACGACGAACAGTTTGCTCGTCCATTTCAATTGTTATGTAAATGGTTGTTGTATTGTATTTTATGTAATTTGTTATGTTTCCATTTGTGGTCTTTATTTAAATTGCCTCCACTTCTATGGTGCAACTTATGACAGAGGCTATAATTTGCCTGCAGCCTCGTCATTTAACTTCCTGATAAGGTTACCTCTTCGTTCGCGTAAGATTTATTAACGTCCAAGATCCATTTACAAGATTTGCGGAAACTTGAATAATTGACGGTTCTATCTGAGACCTTCCGCTCCTTGTGGGTGATGAATGATTTTTTTATTTCAGAAACTTACTATGACTGAGACCTTCCACCTCTTTGCTTTTGTTCATCTTGACTTTCGGTGCGAGCTAGCTAAATAGCTGAAGCGCTAGTAAACCTTTGGCCACTAAACCAATCAACCATCATACTTTTAGTTCAAACTTTATTCCATGGGCTGACTTTTTCATGCATGTATGAATGTGCATTCACGAACTGCTAGTTATTGTGGCTCTAGTAATTAGGTAACCTCACTCGAATTCAGTCTTTTAGTAATGATGTTATGTTGCGAGTCATGACAATGTTGTGCAATTATGTTCGCATTAATTCAACTTTCTTACTTTTGCAAGAAAGTCCGATTATTAATTGCAATTACCATTATCTGTGATCCTTTCCATCTGTCGTGAGAGGTGAATATCGCTACCATTAAGGGGTGGCACCTATACTACCGTACATCTGGACAGCTTACTTTCTAATGCATCTATTATGGCAGCTCGAAACCTATACAAGATTTGAGGTCGTCTACTGAATAGCATTGTTGGAGACACTTGTATGTATTTATATTGGTCGTCTAGTAGGTACTGGCCCTCGTGTTCTAGTGATAGTTATATTATTAGTACATTAGTGGTATGTAGGAACTAGTATTAGTTACCATGTCGCTTAATCTATTATTTTAGTGAAATTTATTGTGTGTGAGATTAGCTTAGAATCTCTTCAAAGTGATCACGAAATCTCAAAGGTTAATGATCCCGATATTAGATAAAAAGTTTATCTGATTGTTGCTTAAATTTAGTATATTCATAGGAGCCGTTAAATGCAATTGTATGCATTGTCTTTTCACTATAAGCTGTGGTGCTCATAAACAGTTAGCAGTGAACATCTTCGTAAATGCAAGACAATACATCTTGCTTTGCTTTTGCTGTCCAAAAGCCATTTATTTTTGCTCACACTCCGACATTTTATTTAATAATGAGAATTGAAAAATTTCTATTGCCTGCTCACGAGTTTCATGCATTTTTGTAGCAATTTTAAGGCGCCACGAACTACATTTTCACTGATTTCGAAATCTATATTGTCGATGTTGGGAAATCACTCCTATTTAAATGTTCGAAGATGTCCAGGAAGAAACACTACGACATTCTGTTTGCTCTCACCAAAGCGTTAGCACGTTCTTCACTTTCTATAGGAGATAGCTAAATAGCTGAAGCGTTGGTAAACATTTGGCCACTAAACTAACTTCTATCCTGCTAGTTAATCTTACTATTCTAGAGGATCCTGATGCTGGACTAGAAGGGACAGCAGAGTTTTGGCTGAGCTCGCTCTTTAGAACGACTTGCACTGCCAGGCGTAGCAAGTATACATCATCGTTGTGCTCGTAGAATTGATGAATTCTTATTGCATATCAGAATAAATGATAAACTGAAGATAATCAATAATGTAACGGTCAACTATCTCTAATTTATTATCTCTAATTAGGCAGTAATGAGATAAATTATATAGGCTTGTTCAGTGTTGATGATAAACCAGAATAATTATGGCCTATTTCGGTACGTTGCATCGTAGGTCCTCGCTTCTGTAAATAATTTTCTTATCTTATGAGCATAGACGGGGAATGCGTGCACAGATGTCTAGTTAGCCCCCACTTATCACTACTAGTTGCATGACTATTAGTGTCGCATATCTATTTAGACTGATGGTGCCTATGCAATAGTGTCTTATGATCACAGCCGTCCATGTATTGCCTATTGCGCGTATCGATATTGGTTCGCTCACTGAACCTTTTCCTTGTATGTTACTCTGGTACGCTCAGTTTCATCTATAATATTGGGAACGTGACTTTGTGAATGTGTCTCGAGTGAACGTGAATGAGACACATTCACGTGAACGTGAATGTGTCTCGAGTGTCTTCGCATACAATGAATGAGCCTTGCATTTTTAGTACTTGTAAATCGTGATGCAATATCATCATTACTAGTGATGTGTACCGAGGTGGCATGTCTCTAATTGGTGTCTGATTGTCTGTTATGTCTCATGTTGCTCCTCTTGTTGCCTCGTTGTATCAACCTTGTCGCGGAAAACTTTATTTGTATCGAAATTACTTTTTCTCGGGTTTAATCACAACCTCTATTGATCTAATACTCGATAAATGCAAGTGGAGTTATTTATTTTTCTGATAATTTCTTGCCGAGCTTCTCAAAAGAAGCTAGTCCGCTTAGCCGTCCGTTTTGATCCCCTCAATCCAGTCAAACTTTATTGTCTAGAAATTACTCGTCAACCGTTGGATTTATTTTAAATTCAAGCGAGATACAATTATTTTGAAGTTTTCAATTATTTCATCTGTCAATTTCTCTATGCAAGTTGAGAGAGAGGGACGTAAGGGTGGTTCACATTGAGACCGTGGTTCGAGGGCACCGGTAAACACCGCCACTTATAAGATAATGACCTTGAAACAAATATCATTCAATCACTTATATATTAAGAATTGTAACATAACACTCTCAGAAATATTTTACATGTCCTCTGTACTTTATTTAGTTATAAAGCTCGTACGAATATGAATTATTCTCTTCTAAGGTCAGGGTTCGTTGGCAGTCATGGCCTCGATGTGTTAGGTAGCTCTATGTCACCTGCTTTGCATTTTAGTTCCTCGTATAAGATATTTATCTGCCTTGAATCTTAAATGCTAGTAGAATTAGCATTTTTGTTGGTGGGTTCGAAACCATTTGTTATTGTGCTATTCATTTATATTGCATCTGCTCGGCACAAATTGTTCGGTCTAAATTTAAGCAATAATTCGACATGAAGAACCTATCTTCTGACGCTGAGCCCATAATTTTCTTCACTAAAAGACTTCAGCCCATGATTTTCTTCACTGCTTGAATAATTTCGTTGCGTCAAGTTCTTGTTAGTGATTTCAGCGCCTTTGAGTAGTCTAATTGGGAGTGAGTGACACAAACATTATTATATTATTGACACAAACAGGTCAGTAATAAGTGACGGATTGAGACCACTTACGAGAAGTGACGTAATTTGAACGTTTTGATGTTTACTGTGTTAGTGTTATTGGTATGTCTTGTGCTCTCGTTTGTGACGTTTTCTTCAGTGTCTGCAGCTGAGTCGTAGTGATGGTACTCTTTTAGGTTAAATGTACATAGATTCAGATTGTCTATAGTAGATATTGATGCAAGACGATACCAAATCAAGGGTCACGATGCCTTAGGTCTCACTGTATTTAAGCGTTAATTCTATTATTTTACATATTTATATCATACACAGTTTAATATTGGAATGTTCCATTAAATCTTGTTCGCTACGTTTATTATTCGCTGTAGGTAACATGCGATGAATATCGGAAGCAAATACTTATCTCAAAATCATTTTCATATCACTCCGTTAACATTTATGGTGGAATTGTGATCCTTCTATTTTACATAACGCATCCTATTGTCATTAACAGCTTTCCGAATCTTCTATCACACCGGCGGGACTGCTAATTATTTATTATTAATAATAATATATAATTGTCTTTTTTCTCAATATTTGCCAATTGTATAAGTGTGATACTTGTCAACTCTTGAAACCGAGACAGGTTTTCAGCGCGATGGAACCAAGATTTGTAAATCTTTCTGCATATTATTCGTGGGTTTTTTCCAAAGCGATTAACTACTACAGTGTTGGAATCTTTTAACGTATATTTATATAGATTTTTTAAGGTGGGGCCCGAGGCATCTGGTGTAGCACTAAGTCCTCACGTAGCTTTGGTTTAATTAATAATCGGTTTAATTAATAATACGGCTGTTCTTCAGTGCATTGCTTCACTTAAGTAATGCACTTCTTAACCAAAGACATTTTGCAGCTACTAATCCTTTCTCGTCATCATTTATCTTTAGTATTTACAATTTATGAAGTTTCTATATTTTCCTTGCTAAACAT